CCGACGATACCGATCCTGATTTCATGATTTACATTCAGAAACTCTGATTTAAGAACCATCGTTCTTTTTTTCATCATCACAAAATTAATGAATTATTCACTTCATTTCTTCACTGATTTTAAAGTCCAGATTGGGTGTAACAATCTGAATTTTAAGAAAAACTGACCGAAATTTTCCAATTTCTCATCCTGTTTTTTGATCAAACCAACATTGCAAAAACGTAATAACTGGTAAACGAGAAATATTTAATTGATATTCTGCTAATTTTGATGGTCTGCTCTTCTAACAATACCCGGTATCTTGTTATGACCAATGAAAGCTTTCATTCTCCTTCTTCTTATTTTATGCAGTTCCATGATTGGATTCACAGTACTTCATGATATTGTCAGTGTGATGCAATAATTTCTATAAGCCATTACTGAACTCAACGATATTCTGTAGGAAAATGAGATAAAATCGGAATATGAAATAGATTGTAGTCGATGAGATCACACACAAATGAGATCATTCATGTTGTTATCGCTGTAAACTGTCAAGCTGAGTTTGCATTCGGAATAGTGATCTACAAAATGGTTATGGCTTTCGAGTGTTGTGGACAGAAGGAATTGCGTTTAAACGAGCGAGAAATTGGGCAGAAACGACGAAGAACTGTACTGTACACTAATCAAATTTGATTTTTTGCAAGATTAGTTTTCGCAGAAAAGCATGATGAATGTACTGCTGATTTCAGAGAATTTCATTTCAGACTTACTGTGTAATGCCGATAATTGTAATAATATTGTAATGTTACTGTTTTGTATTATTGATGTGGTACGGATGGATCAGTGAAAATGCTACGCAAACAGTCTAGTACGGACACATCGAATCGAGTCGGGTTGAGGACGTTGTGTAAAAGTCTAACAGATCAGACGGAACCGATCTCATGAGTTTTGCTGCTGATGCTACTGATGGTGCTGTAAAAATTTGCAGTTTTCGTCGCATCTTTCCAGTCATTCATTGAAATTTATTATCAATCGTCGACGACTGTCGTTCATTTCTTCACAACTCATTCTTCAAAGTCATTCCTAACAAGCGCTTCGTCTTTTTTTCGTTCATTTTGAATCCAAGAAATTTTTCGTCGTTTGTTGATAACAAATTGCACAGTTTCTGATGATCGCGCTTGATGGTGGCGTTCATTTTTCATGATTGTGCTTGCTCATGGAACATGATTGATTCTCATCGCCACGGATTGAACATTTTTGCCGTTCTTTTGCACTTCTCCTAAATTGTTTGTGCTTGCTGATGCAAATAAAAATTTCTTTTATTTTTTCTTGATTTTCTGACTGCAGTCGTCGCATATACCACACAAATATAGAAATGAACAGCGATGTAATGGTGACCGTTGTATATGTGCAGTTGAAGTGTTGCTTCATCAAGTGAACATTCATTTATGTGAACATACAGCATGAACACTTTAAAGAGGATCGATCACCACAAAGCTGCACAAACAGATAATCCATCCGTTTCCTTGAACGAATGCTAATAATTAGCACATTCACCTGGTGGGTTCATCTATTGGTGAATGATCACCAGTGCCAGACGATAGCCAAACTTTTGCTTAGCAGAGGTGATGGGATCCAATCTCAGACACTTTCATTAATAACTGCTCCACTGAAAATTCTAGTTGTAAGGTGATCCGCAGTCAAATACAACTGAGAACATTTACATGAGATAATCAAGGATTCAATTTATAGCTGAGGCAATACACTGACATCGACAGATTCCTATGAACCAGATAAGATTTTGCTCCTCTATGCAATCGATACGAATGATCGAAATCAAATACGGTTCGTTGATCAAAACACCAGAATCACAGTCTTTCCTAAATATGCATGTGNGTTACTCGATTGAATACTCTGATTTTCGGCACTTTGTTTCGCATAGTGTGTGATGGAATTTTCTCACAGAACGAATCTCTCATCAAAAACGAATTCGACAAATCGACGAAAATTCCATTGTGATCATTAAAAATCGACATTGGTAATCAATTTCAATTAGCAATTTGAAATCGAATGAATATTGTGATTTTGTTGAGGGAGAGAAAAGTTTTGAGAGAAGTTTCGAAGGAATGTTGCATACGAGCAAATGCCGTATTGAAACGTATGCGTCAGCATTCTTTTGTTTAATTAGTGGTCGCATTCTTGAAAGGAGGACGATGAGAGAGGTGCTTCTATAAAAACGCAATTTAACGAAACGTTTGCAATGTCAAAATGTTGAGCTGCTGAAAAAAAAATAACACAGACCGAAAGGTATTTTAATAAGATTTTGTTTTCTTTTTCACACTCTCTTTGTTTTTCTCATCCAATAAGTTCCAAAAAAGATAATTCAATAACAGCTGAATGCAGGTTAGGAACCGCACCCTAAACTGAATCAACTGAGAATTTGTGCTCGTTTAGAACAACTGAATCATTACTTTGTGTTGCCGGCGGAAAATTCTTCCAATAATTAGGATTATATTTATAAAACCATATTAGAGGAGAAACAACATCTATTGCGATCTATTTGCATTGTTTTGTTGGAAAAATCAGACCATCTCATTGGTTCAATAATGATCATACGGTAGGGATGAATCCCTATGATTATATCGAGTTTCATTCTTTCGCGAAGAATGAGGAGAGGAAGCTGATTCGTTGAATTGTGATGATGAAGAAACGGGAAGTTGGCGAATTTCGAACAATGATTCATTGAGTCTGATTGAGCGACGGGTAATGTTCCGGGTTTACGAAATAGTTTTGCTGGTTGAATTTGCAGTGAAAAATGGAAAGGACTTGAATTGTTTCGAAAAATCATCAGACATTCATGCATTTCTCAGATGAATGTCTGAAAACGGTTACGATTTCAGCACTTAAAGTCACTTGAAATTATAGAAACATTCCGATTGACATCATCAACTCGTATTTCCCGTATATCTCGTTTGNGTTGTTTCAT